GGCCGTCACCGTCTTCCTCTTGGCGTGCTCGGTGTAGGTGACGGCGTCGCGGATCACGTTCTCCAGGAACACCTTCAGCACGCCGCGCGTCTCCTCGTAGATGAGCCCCGAGATGCGCTTGACGCCGCCGCGCCGAGCCAGGCGGCGGATGGCCGGCTTGGTGATGCCCTGGATGTTGTCGCGCAGCACCTTGCGGTGGCGCTTGGCACCGCCCTTGCCGAGCCCCTTCCCGCCTTTGCCTCTGCCAGACATGGTGTCCCCCGTTCAGCCGCAAAGAGTGTAACGGGAAAAGGGACCCCAGCGCCTGTATATTGCCGTCGGTCCGACCTGGTTGAGGACTTCGGCGGGGCAGGGCCGGGGCGGGACGTTCGCGCCACCGCTCTCATAGGGGGCAAAGGCGCCGCGCGCGCTGCAGGCTCGGCCCCGCCCCCGGGGGCCCAACCCGCCCCTGCCGCGTTCCCCCCGCGCTCCGCCGGCGCTGAGCCCCAACAAGGGGCCCGGCCGGGCAGCCGAGAGGGGCCGGCGCGGTGGGTCCGGTACCACAGGAAATCCACCCTTTTCTACCGCGAGCTCAGAAGAGGTAGTAAGGTGCTTTTTTTTTTTTTGTCCCCGTGAGGGCGACACATTCACTTCTTTCTGCAGGAAGGAAAGTCTTGTGCGTGCACTTTGTCTCCGACTTAAGGATAACAGGGTGTTATTTTGCCTGTGAGAGTCAGGTCTGATGAAGGAGTTAATTTGTGTCTCTTGCTGATGGACCGATGAAAAATTACATTGCTCCATGTGTTTTTAAAGATGCAGCATGTGTTTGATTATTCTCATGGTCTTACTTTGTTGAAACATAATAAAAAACTTCTGCTGTTTCTTCACATGATACTATTTTTTGAACAATACGTGTTCTGGAGCTGTTGATTTGTGCTGGGGTGCCTATTGGCTCTACGAGTCCGTTCAGGTGCAGTGAGTCCTGAAAGCTTCCAGACCTTTCATGCGCACACACAGTTCTACTTTTTCTGTCTGAATTATTATTTAAATTTACCATGAATGTATGTTTGAGGTATTTTCACCTTGTTCTTGAAGGATCATCAAATAAATGCTATTCCATACAGTTGCTACTTACCATGTCTTTCTTGGCAGGAGTTTTTCCCTGGTAAGTTATACCTGTGTACAATGCACATTTTTTGTGTTTTTTTCATCGGTGTAGTGGGTTTCTGTGGCTGGGTTTTGGTAGCAGGGGGGGAGCTACAGGGGTGTCTTCTGTTAGAAGCTGCTAGAAGATTTCCCTGTCCCACAGATCCAATGCCAGCTGGCTCCAGGATGGACTTCCTGCCACTGGCCTAGGCTGAGCCAATTAGGAGTGAAAGTAATGCCTCTGTGATAACATATTTAAGAACAGAAGATGGAAAAAATTTCAGCCAGGGAAGAGCGGAGTGAGAACATGGGAACAACAATGTAGACACAAAGGTCAGTGCAGAAGGAGGGGCAGAGTGCAGAGCTGCTCCAGGCACGGGAGCTGTGGCCCCTGCAGCCCGTGGTGCAGACCATGGTGAAGCAGCTGTGCCCCTGCAGCCCATGAAGGACCATCGGGATGCAGAGACCCACCTGCAGCCCATGGATATCCATGCTGGAGCAGTGGATATCCAAAGGAGGCTGTGACCTTGTGAGAGGCCCAAGATGGAGCAGGGTCCTGCCAGGGACCTGCAGTCCATGGAGAGGGAAGCCCACGCTAGAGCAGGTTTTTCCCAGTTAGGACTTGTGGACCCATGTTGGTCCAGCTCATTTGTGAAGGACTGCACCCCATGGAGGAGTGACCCACGGAACAGCAGTTTGGGGAGAACTGCTGCCTGTGGGATGGACTCACGCTGGAGAGGTCCATCAAGGACTGTCTCCCGTGGAAGGGACCCCATGGGAGCAGGGGAATGACTCCTCTCCCTGAGTAGCAGCAGAAACAACAACTGACCATAACCCCCATTCCTCATCCCCCTGCACCACTGGGGTGGAAGAGGGAGAACACGGAAGGAAGGAGGGGTGGGGGGAAGGTGTTTTTAAGACTTTTATTTCTCACTCTTTGGCTCTTATCCTGCTAGTGATAAATATAAGTACTATCCCCACTTTGAGTCTTGTTTTGCCCATGGAGGTAATGTCACTGACCTCCTAACTCATTAATCCTTAGTTGTTTGGTTTTTTTTCTCCTCTGTCCAGTTACAGAGGGAGAGTGACAGAGTGGCTTTAGTGGGTACCTGGCATCCAGCCAGGGTCAACTCACTAAAATTGGTCAGCTATTTCTTATTTTGTTTCATCGTTCCCATCTTTTCCCTGTTTCAAATGGATGCTCATTACTGTATAATGCTTCTTAAATGTGAAAAGGTTTAGCTTGATAATTTCACATACTTTTCCATTTTAGCCATCACTTTTTTTGTTGTTCTTGTTTGTAATTTTTCATCATTTTTCCTTGAAAGTTCTCTTTCTCAGGAGGTGTGAGAGGAATGGATGTTACAAGACAGGGACTTTAGGATTTATTTTTCTCTCTTTGTAGGCCTTTTGGTATGTATGTTATTTAATTCAGGTTATGCTTAGCCACCATTTTGATAAGTATTTCCATATGTAGATGGCCATCTTTGTAGTGTTTATCTCAATTTATATCTATTAATATCACATGATTTAGTTCTACAGCTATAACAAGGACATATTTATCTTCTGATATCAACCTTAATGATGCTATTAGGACAGATAAAGCCCCCCCCTCGTTTATGGTAATGTTGTGGCTTAACCCCTGCCAGCAACCAAGCACCATGCAGTCGCTCGCTCACTCCCTCATCAGTGGGATCAGGGAGCCTTGCAAGCTGCCCTGTTCACCTCCCGTGCCCACTGTTGATTGACACTTTGCCAAAAAGTTGCAATCTTTTTTACCATTCATTTCTTGATGTTTTTTATTTCCCTATATCTCTTTGTGTGGCAGTTAATATTTTTTTCTATTAAATTTAACCTTTGCTTACTTCTGCATCATATTTTCTTGATCATCTCTATATTAGACTTCTTTAAGTAATTAATTTTTTATCCTTATCCAGGGTCCATTACATTTTAAGAGTGACAATTCAGGAGAAGAACCAAAACAGATATTAATGTAATTTGTTCTTAACCTAAGCAATAGTTTAATTTCAAAGAAAAAAACCCCACAGATTATTTAATGAATGAATTTTTATTATGACCAGTATTACACAGAATCCTTGTAGATATGACAACAATGTACAGGTACGTAGACTAGATTGGTGCATTACAGTGTGTTTGTGTTATTTGAGGAAATATTCTATATTTCATGACTGTTCAAGTCAAGTAATGCTTACCCAAATTTATCTTTTCCACACCAGGCAGTTTAATTTTCTTGGTTCTATTTTAGCATAATGTGTGTGTCTAGTATCTGTCTAAGCTTTTCACTGGCAGCTGTAGGTACAAAGTAACAGTGTGTGTGTTATTGAAGTATTAGGACATTCCTGAAAAAGAAACAAAATTAAACCTGAAGGAAAAGCAAAAAACCTGTTTACAGGAACTTGAACCTTTCAAGGTTATGGAAAAGAAAGGAGGAGTTCTAAGCAATTCAAATTCACTCAATTCTGGAGTAACACTTCATTTCCTAATATGACATCTTTTATTTTATTGCCAGTCTCATATTTTATGGACAGGGTTCATCCTTTACTCCTGGTGGTTCATCTGCATGGATTGTTTTGTTACTCAAAAGCAAGAAGTGAGTATATGGACTACAAATTAATAATAATTTTTTTTATTATTATTTTTACAATGAGCTGTCCCTATTAATCAAAACAGTACGAGAAGAGCAAAATGTTTTCCTGATCAGGCAGCATGAATTGGAAGAGCCCAGAGCTGTCTCCCATGATGTGGGAAGGCAGTCATGGCACATTTTGAGTGAAGGAACAGGTTGAGTGATGGCAGGAATGAGTGAGAGACTCTACTCCTTTGCCCACTCTAGGAGTGTCAGGAGATTTTAGCACTCCTATTCCCTTCTGCATCAGCTTTCAATCTCTCATCCTGACATTCCTTCTAACACTCTTATCCTTCCCAAAAGACAACCATCCCTTTGAATAGGCTGTTGAAATAGTGTGAGTTTCAAAATTTAAGCCTCTGTGGTATGTTTTTTAAATTAGCTAAAAGTATCTTGATAGATATATTGAAAACTGGAGATACAGATTTGCTTCACCTCCTAAAGCAAAAGCCTGTAATAAATGTGCTACTTCATTTAGGTGAGACACTTGTGAGAGAAAGCAATCATCTTTTTTTGCATCATCTTCCTAGGGAAATAGAAGTGTTCCCAGAGCATTATCACATGAAATGCACAAGTTCAGCTAAAAATAGAGATGGATTTTTGCCTAGAGTGACAATCAACATGACTAAATATTGCTAGAATTTGTCTAATTTCATGGAGGAAAACAAATATTTTTGAAAGTTGCATGACAAATCCGTTAATTACAACATAAGTAAAATTAAAGCTTGGTGCACCCTACTTACAGGGAGACTCTGAGCTGTCAGTCTCTGCACAGGCCACCTTCCAGGATACTGAAGACAGGCCCATCAGTAGGACTGGTTGTTAGACCCACAATATGAAGGAGAATCACACATTTCACACCCCAACGTGCCCCTAAATTGCTGCCAGACTGAGGCTTGGTCAGCTCAGTCCTAGTTTTCATTCTCACTCACCTGGACTAATCTGATGCACCTGGCACTTGGAGTGGCTGCTCCCCATGGGTCTGATTGCCTCAGGGAACAGCAGGATTTCTTCTTGGGTGTGCATCTGCTTCCAGGCTCTACTTACAACTGTGTGCTGAAGGCCAGAGCTAGTACTTCTCTAGGTGGAAGCCGGAAATCAGCATGGATCGTGGTAGCCCCCATCCAGTCACAGTGTGTCCATCTCTGACAGGGCTTCAAAAACCACATCAAAATCATACATATACTTTTTAACTACTGATGCTTTGAAATGTTATCTTTTCATGCATTGATGTGTTTATGCAGAAACCCTCAATAACTCTTGCTGGTTATCCCCAAATTCACAGAAATGGACAAGGGACAATTTGGTCTGAAATAAAACCCAAACCAAACAAAAAAAAAAAAAAAAAAGCCCAAAACCAAAACAACAACACATAGGAGAAAGAAAGTTAGAAAGTTATTTACAAGGTAATATTTTTTTCACCTTTATAATTTCTGCATGTATAGTAATTACTGATCTTGCTAGTACTATCCAGTGCTGCTGCTATTCTGTATGAACTTCTTCTGGCTACAAGGTCCTTCAGCAGTTAGCAGTCTGCACACACACAAGATTAGCAACTAATTAGAACCTCACCACCCATAAAGACATACGGACTTGGACTTCTGGATCATAATGGATGATGGCAAATCCAACCATCCTTTTGGTGAGGAACAAAAAATCTTTATTTTCCTGATATGCAACTGATATGAACTTGCCATGACCTCTACAGCATAAACATCTCAAGCGCTCCATCTTTAGGTGTTTTAGATGTCATTAAATAACAATAAATTTCAGTCTTCTCATTTATTCACTTTTATTTAACCACAGTTTTCAATTTTACTGCTTGTGCTTCCCCTGTGCCTGATCCTTAACTCAGTCTTCAAAGCTGTCTCACCACAATCTTCCACTTTTACTGCACCCTCCAGTTTGATCCTAATAAAAAATTCTTCCCACATCTGAAAACAACAAATAAATAACTAAAACAAACATGTTCAATGCTCAGAAGTACTTCAGTGAAAATAACTTGAATGTCAAGAATCACTAGAAGAGGAAGGGACAGTAAAACAGGATATTGTATCCTAGTACCATTGTAGCATTTGTGTGAAATAGTTGCACCCTGAGTAGCGTACACATTTCTGGCCCATAAATAAACAAATAAATGCAAGTGGTAAAGAAATTTCTGAGAAAAGTGATAAAGATGATTTAAGGTCTAAAATGGCTTCTTTACTAAGAATATTAGGACACTTTCAGAATAGAGACCACTACTGGTTGAAGATGTTCTTGCTTATTTTTACTATCTGTAAGGTCAGTGGTTAAATCTATAACATTTAGTGAGGTCTAATCTAATTATAAAATTAGTTATAAACCAAAAGGTTACTGAAACCAGAAATGCTAAATTTCATAGGCAGTTTCCTTAAGTAAATGGACTCCTTTTCTCTATAGGCATTTTCCAAATCAAAGAAAAAAGAGGATGTGTAGAAAGATGAGATTGGTGCCATCCCTCTCCTTTATAGAAATCAATTCTAGACTACACAGCTGCTTGTACAAGCAAAGCACTTGCTAATGCCTGTGGTAAATAGTTCACAAACTGGTCCATTTAATTACATGCATGTCCTGAGGATTGATTTTGGTCTTTTTCTATAACATAAAAAAACCAAGCAAAGAAATCCCCCCCATAAAAGCACCAAACAAAAATCTGACTCTTCCTCTCTTCCCCACCTCCAAAAAACCCAACCCAACCAAATAACAGCAAAATAACTTCCCCTAAAAAAAAAATCCTATTCAAGTGCTTAACTACTTTTTTTTTCAGGGCTTCCAAATTGCTAGCATCCTGGTTTGGGCTGGTTCTCTTAGAAACTAGTTGGGAAAGCAACAGAGGAATTCCATGACAGGAAAAAGCTGCAATGTCTTTAGGAAGAGGATTTGGTTTCTGTTTGAAATCCCTCCCTACAAGTGAAGAGCAGTATCATTTGTATGCGGAGTGCAGAGACCTGAAACAATGAAACTCTCAAAGATGTGGTATATAGACATGATATCTGGAGAGGAAAAAAGGTTTGTTTGCATCAGCCTAGTTAGTATGGTAGGGTTGTTTCTGTACCATGCACCCATACATCAAGTTTTCTAGGACAGAAAGGACAAGGGGGGGGAAAGGATTTAATGACCATGGGCTCCTTATAGAAGTATTTTATCATATAGGATGATCCATCTCTCAGCTGTGAAGCCTGCAGAATCAAAATAACATTTTCTGTTAGAGCAAGCTGGAACATCCCGACTGTTCCTTGTTTTGGTTTTGTGGTGGGGTTTTTTTGCTTTTGTTTGGTTGGTTGGGTTTTTTTCCCCTTAGCCTGGGCAGCAGCCACAGTATAAATAAATGGCAGTCAAAAAATACAAACTGGCAGTTGATAGAAGAAACCAGAAGAATTCAAAACGCAGGCTGGTTTTAACAACAGCCAGAGCGAGGGGCTTATCACCTCATTGTGGTGTCATCCAGCAGATTCATCTTCCTTGTCTGCAGATTAACAAAATGAAAATGACTCAGAAAGGGACAGGCGAAGGGGGCAGGAAGCGGTGGCAGAGAAGGTAACCAGAGGGAGATCGAGAGGAAAAGAAGAAGGAGGAGGTGGAAGAGGGAGGTAAGCTGCTTCCAGGGCAGGATTGGTCAGAAATTGCTGCAGCCCAGGCGGGTCCTGACTGGGCACCCCTCCCCACTTCCCTGCTGGGCACCAGAGCTGAACCGGAATGCCCCGAAGAGATCAGCCCTCCCCTTGACTCAGCTTGCCATGGTAACGATAAGGATCTCAGAAGATGCAAAGACACAGGAGGACTTAGCTAGGGTTTACTGCAATCTGTTTTTCTGTTATTATTAGATACACGCAGAGTATTTATTGTTACCTGCAGACAAATGCAGTTTTCTGCTGCATTTCCACAGCTGTAGTGCAATTGGTTTCCAGACAAACTTCCTGAGCATCGGGAATACCTCCAAAATAGTGTGAATGGAGACCAGTGGATTTCTTTCATGTTTACCAAAATCTAAATCGATCCTGCACTATATATTTGAGAGAAACACACAGTAACCTTTTCTTTAAAAAGTTCATTTGGTCTCTAAGCAGGTCTGTTTTCAGTGTTCATGAAAAATAAACTACTCATGGTATTATTCAAACGGTTTCTATAACATTACACCAGATTTGTAGGATATTCCTACTTTATTGTATTTTGGTGTGCTATGTAGGTTTGCAAAAGGTACTAAAGAAACTAAAAATTTGAGTGAAGGAATTTGGGAGTAATTTAATAAAATACCTATAAAAGTCGAACCTTTGCATAGAGTATGTGATGTAAATGTTCAAATAAGCTTTCCAAGGAGGAGCCTATAGAATCATGGGGATAGCATTGGTACCAAGCAATTAATTCCATTCATGTTTGTTGGCCTATGTAAATACTTTAGCTTGTCTATATTGTTGATAAATTTGCTAGCCTAAAGCAAATTCTCATGAGAAAAAAAAATAAAATCACAGTTTTCTCTAAGACTTTTACTACCAAAGGAGCTTGAATAATATTTCAATTCTGTCCTCAATCAGGTCACTAGAGAAAAATTAAGCATAGACAGTCTTTTTCAAATACAAACAAACAAACAAAACAAAACCAGCAAAACCCAAACCAAAACAACGTGAATAAGACTTTTTGAAGGAAAAGAATATCTAAGGACTTTTTCTCACACTGTATTGTGACTATGAAAAAGCCTAAAAATGAATGTTCTTCTGTTACTTTACTTTTTTAAAACTTGTTTCTCAGCATACTTGGGAATGTTTCTGCAACTGAGTGTAGTTTATTTTTCTTTTTTTTTTTTTAATATTGTCTTGCATATTATGTTTTAGTCCTTTAAAAAATAGAGGTTTTTTTTAGTAACTACAGGGTGAATAATATTCATGGGAGCAAGTCATCTGACAGGTTGCACTACCTGTGCTACAGTTAGTACTTTAAAGCAAGGATATATTTTGTGTGGACTTAAAATTCAAAAGTAAATTAGTGTCATGTATGTCATTAAACACTTATTTTGTGACCACCAGCATCTGTGATGCACTGTTCTTAAATCTAAAGTATTTTCCCTTTTTGAGAATTTAGATCGGCTTAATAGTTGAAATGAAATTTGGTAAGGGAAATTTTGCATCTGCAATGAAATAAAATATTGTGGTTTTCAAGAAAACACTTTTAACTCTCATCTGTCACATAAGCAAACAGGTGATATAGTACATTTCTCTCTTCTATTTCAATATATACAACCCTATTCTTTAACTATGGTATGCACACAGAACGTGTTCATTTATAACAAGCGCAGTCACCTGAAGTAGAAGAACAAGTTGCCTTTCTACATTAAATATGAATGACTGGTCAGGAGAAACAGGTATACCCAGTAATCATAGGAAAACATTCCAGGTGTAATTTAGCTGAGGAAAAAGGATTTAGTATACAGAACTTATCAGTTTTCCTCTACTAATAGAAACATACTTAAACCCATCATGAAAATCCTATTGGTGGGATAGAGAGAACATTGTTTATAAATTTCTGTATAAGGAAACCGAGCTAGTTATATGCATCTAGTTATAGCTAGATGCTGGTTACCATCTCAAGGGGGAAGCATGTCTGGAAAGTTCTGAGAAGGAAATGGTGAACTTCATGAATGACAATACTGAGCTTAACTAGTTTTTAATGAGGAACATAATAGAAAAACAATACAAACACTTTAGACTAGATTCCAATCTGCTTATATCTTATTTGAAAACTGTTAGAATATTTGTTTTTGAAAAATTTGTTTTGAAAAATATTTTGATTTGAAAAATCCCAAATGATTTTTCAAAAATCAGAGGGAAAAAACAAACAACAAAACAAAACAAATCCAGCCACCTCTTTTCCAGTTTCCAAGAGAAGCGGAACAGATATACTGAAGTGTTTAAGAAGAAAGTATGAGCATTGTTCTTGAAAAGAAATGCTCCCTCCTCACACTGTGTCTTCAAGAGCAAAAATGAAACTCGGGAGGCCTCTGTTTCAGGATTTTCAAATGGTCCAATCAGAACCTTGTACAAATCAATTCCCTGCTTTAGACTCACGTAATCTCTTCCTCCCATACTAAATATACACCAATAGAAGGCTATTTTGCCAAATATACTAAATACAGAAAATTTGAGATTATTAAACAAACAAACAAAAAAATCCTTAAGTGTTTTAAACCTAATTCTAGCCTCAAATTTCAGCATAGTTACTAATAAAGTCCTGCAGTTAATGTTGTTTCAAAGTCCAGCTCTGAATAGTAGGTGATTAATACCTAATGCAATTTCTTTCAGTAAGACAGAGATGATTAAAAAAAAAAAAAAAGTCCTCTATCTATTTCGGAAAATAAAAAGATAAAATAACAATCAAAAAACCAAACACACACACACACAAAAACAACAACCAATCAAAAAAAAAATCCCAAACCAACCTGAAAATTGTGCAAAAGTCTTGTACCGTTTGATAGCAGTCTCGCCTTTCTCTTCTTGTTTCCAAGCAAGACTTCAGCTGGGCACTCCTCCGTTATCTCTCTCTGCTTGAAAAACATTTTCCATTAACACAATGGCACAGTGGCTCATTTCTCTGCCTCCTGAGACAGAATCCTGAAAAAAAACCCCAACCAACCAAACAACAGCAGAAACAAACAACTGCGGAGTTTTCCTTTTTTAGTTCTCAAGGATGGTTTTAAAGAACAAAGGAAACATCCTCCCCAGCTCTGAGAAAGCCTCATTCTGAGTCTCCCAGCTCCCCGCGTTGCATTCCTGCTTCCCCTTCGGGCAGGCTTTTTCTTCCGGAATAAACGTTACTGAATAAAAAAGAAGTAAAAGCCTCTTTTACCTACATCTGCCTAACAAAGGTGAGAAGCGGTGTTCTTTACAGCAGAACAAAAAAAAAAAAAAAAAAAAGAAATAAAATTAACGTGTTCAGAGGAAACAGAGGGGACAAGAGCTGTCGCTGTGCCCCAGCAGGGCGGACTCCCCGAGGCACCAATGGCGGACAGGCTCCTCCCTGCAAACACCGATCTCTCGCGTAGTATCTTGATTTATGTGCCCCCAACACCTCGGGATCCTCAAGCCAAATGCGGCGACTTCAGAGCCCGCGACTCCCGCGTCATCGGGGCCGTGTCCCCCTCTTTGGAACACAAGAGGCTCCCGCAGTCAAGCAGGCCAAGGCAGTCGTAGCAGCCAAGGGCCCCAAAAGGCAACTAAGGCTACGAAATCCAAAAAGGTGGTACCGAGGAGCTCGGCCAAGCCGAAAGAGGCAGTACCCAGGAGTCTGTACCGTATTAGTAAAGGAAACTTCTGCAGAAAAACGCCAAGAGCACTTTTGAACACCACCAGGATGAAAGAGAAAGAATTGAAACAGTTCAAGTCTAGACTGGTACATGATGACCCCCTTTCCTGTGTATGTGTGAGCTTCCGTAGTACTTCTATCTGCACTCACACTCCAGTCTATTTTGCTTTAACTCCATTATGATAGTCACCATCATTATCTATCACTTAAATAGAATACCTGGCGCTGCCCTTTGGAAACTGTCCTGGACAGCATCCCAGTGAAGTACTTACCATTTTCTTGCTATCCCCTGATAGCCCCAAATTGCAAACAAGAAAAAACAAAACAACCTCAGAAGGCAGAAAATTACAGCAACCACTACGCATAAGGCACCCGGACACCTTTCCACCCCAACGCAGGGACAGCAGAGGCTCACTGGGAGAGGAGGGGGCCCAATCCCTCTCTGGTTTGAAAACTGCGCATTCCAATCGGATTGGCAAGGACGGCCCCGTCCCCGCCCCATACTACCACCACCGAGCTTAATGGTGCTTCCCACCCACTGAATCCATGGGGAGGCAAGCAGAGAGTACACCCTTGCCTAGTTCGCATCTCTCAAACCATGCTGCGGTGACCGATTTCAATCGCAGTAGATACCTTTTATTTTTTTTTTTCCCCAAAAAGGGAAACGGAGGCACATTTACATAAGAACATTGATGTCTTAGAGAAAGAAAACTGCAGGGAACTACACTGATCAGCAAGTTAAAAATACACAGAAAGTTTATGCTTCAGAAAGCTTCTTTTGACATTTAAAATTTTCAGATATGTCAAATAGCATGTATTTGTAGGGTCAAGCGTTCCTGCTCTTTCTAGGAAGATGTGGGTGGCTCTGAAAAGAGCCTTTGGGTTATTTGATCTGGAGAACTTTACTTGGCTTTGGCCTTGTGGCTGTCGGTCTTCTTGGGCAGCAGCACGGCCTGGATGTTGGGCAGCACGCCGCCCTGCGCGATCGTCACCTTGCCCAGCAGCTTGTTGAGCTCCTCGTCGTTGCGGATGGCGAGCTGCAGGTGGCGGGGGATGATG